CACTGTGTTCCATCCAACAACATCATAATATACATTATTCTAAGCAGTACATGGTACACACTCTAAAAAAGACCATATAGTAGCCCACAGAAAATATTTAAGTAAATGTAAAAGAATTGAAATTATCCCACACATGTTATCGGATCTTAGAGCCTTGAAACTAGAAACTAATGATAAAAGAAACTCCAAAAACTCTACAAACATATGGAAATTGAATAATACACTCTTGAGCAATCAGTGGGTCACAGAGGAAATTAAAGAAGAAATTAAACAATACCTACAAGTAAATGAAAATACAAATGCAACTTACCAGAATCTGTGGGATGCAATGAAAGCCATCCTCAGAAGAAAATTTATTGCACTGAGTTCCCACATCAGAAAAACAGAATGAATACAAATAAATAACCTGATGTTACACCTCAAACATCTAGAAAAAGAAAAGCAAGTCAAGCCCAAAGCCAAAAGAAGAGAGAAAATTATAAAATCAGAGCAGAAATCAATGCAATAGAGTAAGAAAACAATACAAAGAATAAATGAATGAAAGAGTTGGTCCTTTGAAAGAATAAATAAAACTGATAAGCCCTTAGCCAATCTTATTTTAAAAAGGAAACAAGCTGAAATTCATGCAACAAGGAGTGAAAAATGTGAAATCACTACAGACTCTGTAGAAATACAGAAGATCATCAACACCTATTTCAAAAACCTCTACTCTCATAGGTTCTATAACACAGAAGAAATGCACAGATTCCAAGAAACATATGAACTACCAAAGCTGGATCAAGAAGCTATAAATATGCTTAATAACCCAATTTCTATTAATGGAACTGAAAATATAATTAAGGCGTTACCTACAAAGAAGAGCCCAGGCCCAGATGGATTCATTTTGAAATTCTACAAGAAATACGGAGACGACTTAATGCCCATACTCCTCAAACTCTTCAATGAAATCAAAAGGGATGTAATTCTTCCTAAGTAGTTCCTGGAAGCAAATATTACTCTAGTACCAAAACCTGAGAAAGACCCAACTAAAACAGAGAACTACAGGTCAATCTCCCTAATGAATGTACATGCAAAAATTCTCAATAAAATATTGGCAAACAGGATGCAGCAAATCGTCAAGAAGAATAAACACCACAACCAATTGATCCAAGGCACGCAGGGATTGTTCAATGTACACAAATCAATAATTGTAATCCACCATATCAATAGATCCAAACCTAAGAATCACATGATGATTTATATAGATGCAAAAAGTGCTTTTGATAAAGTCCAACCCTCATTCATGATAAGAACCTTACAGAAAATTGGAATAGATGGTTTTTACTTCAATATGATAAAGGACATCTATGAAAAACCAACAGTCAACATCATACTACATGGCCAAAAACTGAAAGCCTTTCTGAAAATCAGGCACACAAGACAAGGATGACCCTTATAACTGCTCCTATTCAACTTAGTAATGGAAACAGTAGCCACAACAATTAGATAATAGAAAGAAATAAAAGGAGTAAGATAGGAAAAGAGGAAGTTAAATTATCATTATTTGCAGACGATATGATACTCTATACAGAAGACCCCCAAAACTCCATTGAAAGACTCCTAGATATAATAAATTGAGCAATGTAGCTATATACAAAGTCAATACTCAAAAATCAATAGCATTCCTATACACTAACAACAAAATCACTTAGAGAGAAATAAGAGAAGCCACGTCCTTCACACTAGCATCCAAAAAATGAAATACTTTGGAATTAATATCACAAAAGAAGTAAAACATCTATACAGGGAAAATTATAATATGCTGAAAAAAGAAATCAAAAAGGATCTAAGAAAATGGAAAGACATCTCTTTTTCATAGATAGGAGAATAAATATTGTGAAAGTCACCATTCTCCCAAAACTGTTATACAGATTCAGTGTAATCCCAATGAAAATACCATGAAAAAACCTCATAGATCTAAAGAAATCACTCCTAAAATTCATCTGGAACCAGAAGTGACCTAGAATAGCAAAAGCAATTCTAAACAGGAAAGGCAATTCTAAACAGCCAAGGCAAGGCAGGGGGCATCAAAATCCCTCACTTGAAGTTATAGTATAAAGCTACTGTAATAAAATCAACATGGTGCTAGAATAAAAACAGATCTGAAGATTAATGGAATAGATTAGAAAATACAACCACAGCTACCAACACACTCAACCACCTTACTTTAGATAAAGGGGCCAAATATGTTCACTGAAAGAACATCAGTCGCTTTAATACATGGTGCTGGAAAAAATTGGCTCTCCATGTGGCAAAAACTAAAACTAGAACCGTGCATATCACCACTTCCTAAACTAAAATCTAAATGGATCAGAGATCTGAATACTAAAACAGAAACACTAAATCTGTTGGAAGACAAATTGGTTAAAAATCTCCAAGACATAGGGGTAGGTAGAGAATTCATGAACAGGAATCAAACCTCACGGGAAATATTCCTAGAATGAATAATAATGAATATCATGTCTGATTTTAAAAGTTCCTGCATGTCAAAAGAAATCTCCAGCATAGTGAAAAGAAAACCCACAAACTTGGGGTTCTTAGTGAACTGTCCCTCAGGCAAAGGACTTCTGTCTAAAACATTTAAAGAATTTTTAAAAATCAGACGCCCAAAATTCAAACATCCAATCCAAAAATGGGCATCCAAGATGATTACACAGTTCTCAGATGAAGAAATAAAAATGGGAAATAAACACATGAAAAAATGTTTATCATCATTAGTCATTAAAGAAATGCAAATTAAAAACACACTGAGATTCCATGTCACTCCAGAAAGAATGGTCACGATCAAGAAAACTACCAACAACAAATGCTGGAGAGGCTGTGGGGAAAAAGGCACTCATCTGCACTGTTGATGGGAGTATAGATTGGGGCAACCACTGAGGAGGTCAGTCTGGAGATTTCTCAAAAGGCTGGAATTTTAACTCCCATTTGACCCAGCTGTACCACTTCTAAGCATATTCCCAGAACTAAAACATCATAACACAGTGATATGTGTGTACCCATGTGTATAGCAGCACAGTTTGTAATAGCCAGATCTTGGAAATAACCTAAGTGTCTGTCAACTAAGGAATGGATAAAAAAGATGTGGTATTTTTATACAATGGAATAGTACTCAGCTATAAAGAATGATCACATTGAGATATTTATAAATAAATGGATGCAACTTGAGACCATACTCATAAGTGAAATAAATCAAACTCACATCTATAAATCCTGTGTAGTCTCCCTAGAGTAAGAAATGGTAAGTGTATATAAGATTTTATAGTAGTCATGATTCCCCATTATATGGCTTTGAAGCCTTGTAATGTTTTCATTCATTAGTTGGTATGGTTTTATTCTGTTTTGTTAGATTTTATTATGTATGATGGGATGAACAGTTATTTTGAAGAAAACAAGACATTATGGTAGCCATTGCTGATGTAATATCTTGTTTTGAAGCCCTATGATGCTTTTGTTCTTCGGTTTCCATTGGTTCTATCATGTTGTGTTCTATTGCATTTTGATATGTGTGATAGTATAAACAAATTTTTATGGAAAATGAGATAATACAGTAGCCACTGTTCATTTTCTGTTATTTGGTTCTGAATGCCCTATAATACTTTCCTTCTCGTCAATAGTTTTAGACTATTTTGTTGTGCTTGATACTATTATATGTGAAAGTATGATTAACTATTTCAAAGTAAGAGACATTATGGTCGCTACTGCTAATATCCAGTTGTCTGCTACTGATCTGCTGTGTTGCTTACATTGTTCTGTTCTGATGTTCTTTGTACTGTACTGTTTTCTCTTAATCTCTTTAAAGTAATATAAAATAAATTTTAAGAAAACAATGAAGAGACAACCTTTAAAATGCAAGCCAAACATGCTCAGCCACTCCACAGGCAGAGGACAAGCATCAAGAGTACAGACCTACCCAAGAAAACTCACTCAATGAACTGGCAACTGAAATGAAATGATACTTCTTATAAGTACAAATGGCCAATAAAAGCATGGAACTCATCATTGCTTCTGAAAATCAGATAAATACAAATTAATACTAAACCCAGATAGCATTTTATCTTAGAAAGAATGTTTACCAAAAAAACCCTAATTATAAATGGTAATGAAAAAGGTGGAGAGATTTTTCTACACTGATAAAGGTAATGTAAACCGTTATGAACACTATGGTAATCGGAGTGGTGATTCCTAAAAAACTAAAAATACAAATCCACCTGAGCTATGACCCTTGTAGAAATCTTCCAAAATAATTAAAATCATGCTACACGAATACATAGGTACCTATGTTTACAGCAGCACAATTTGAACAGCCACATCTGTAAAATAGTGTATACATACATCAGCAGAAGAATGTATAAGGAAAATAGTATCCATACACAATGGAACACTGCACTGTGATAAAGACAGCTAACCTTGAGGAACTCATAGATAAATGAATGCAACTTGAGGATATAAAGTTCTTTGAAATAAGTCTGAAACACAAGTTCAAATATTTTCTGGTTTCTCTTATATGAGCATACTTCTCCAAATTGCATACTTTGCTTTTCCAAATATTTTATATGCCAATTTATTTCATTTATGTTACTAGCTCATTTTCAATCACTGAAAAGAAACATTTACACTTTTTCCTTTTTATATGAAGCATTTAGGCTTATGTTTTGTACTCTGAGGAAGTTCCATGAACATAGCAATACACAGTGTTTTTCCTTATTGTTTTACTACAAAAGTTATTCTTCTCATTAAAAAGCAGACATCAGTCAAAATTACTCAATAATAGAGCATGACTTGTACTGCACAGTATTCCTTATGTTGCCCAATCCAAATAATTTTTCTATCTGATGGTTTGTGTTGATCTTTTTCATTATACACCAGTCACTAAGGTAGTCTTTCAGCTACTGACTTATTTGACTTATTACCACTCCACAACACTGCTGAACTCTTGTTTAAAAAAAGAACAACCATACCTTTCCGGCTCATTCACCACATTCTTTGTTTCTGTCTTTTTTAACAATGCTGCTGCTTCCATTCTGTTTTCCCTTAGAGCAAGCATAAGTGGTGTGAGGCCTTCCTGTGGAGAAGCAGAAACAATTTAAAACCCACACAACTGCCTGCTTCTCAGCTGAACTGAACAGCTTGTGAAGGACCCTGACTGTTAACCTGATATAGATAACAACACACAGCAGTCTCTTCCTTCTCACTCCCAGTGCTTCCACACGTGCTGCCCTGCCATACCCTCTGCAGTGCATGCTCTCTGCCCACAGTGGCTACAGAAACCCCAGGGTCACAACTCGCTCCAGTCACTGGTTCCAAGGGTCTTTCCATCACAGCCTTTATCATGGTACTCAGAGTTATGTAACATCTCTCGCTTCAATCAAATGCACCTTGAGGGCAGGGGCTGTATCTTTTTTCTCAGTAGCTCCAACCATAATGCACAGTCAAAAATGATTGAAGGATTTGGATTAAATTAATGAGTTAAATTATCATCCCTAGGCAGAAATTCTCAGCCTATCTTCCAAAGAATCATTTTCCATGACTTCTATGTCTCAACAGATTTGATAATCATCTGTTTGAGAAATTATAAAACTGCATTATTTCTTCAGTATTAAAATCTCTTTACCTTTGCTTTACTCGTATTCAACACTACTTGTCTTCTGCCAAATATCAACACCTGAGGAATTAACAGTTTCAGGGAATTAACAGGGACTTAACAGTTTGGGTACCATGCAAAGCAGTTAGGCAGGAAACTTGCTGAATTCTCCACCTGGTGACAGGATCCAACTATAATTCTTAACCATTCCAGCTTTCAAGGAGTACCCCCATTACATGGTCACTCAATTGTGAGATCAGCCCCAAGTGAACTTGGATCACTTCTTATTAAACCAGTTACGGCTTTCTGTCCTATTATTAGATGAAAATATTATCTCAGCTGTTAGAAAGATGAGTACAAAACTTCACTTCTCATATATAACAGCAATCCTGGGATCCCCATGCATAACTATTGCTTTTAATAAGTTTTATTCTGGTTCCATTTCAATTACCAATGTTATACAAATCAAATGTAAAATATGGTTCATCAATAAAGATTCTAATACTGCTCAATTCGGATTTTAACATAATAAATAAATTATAACACTGCTCAGGATGGATTTTCTCATAATGAATAAATTCTAATACTGCATAATATGAAAATTTTCATACCACTAAATATGAAAATTGTATCACAATGAAACTCAGTAAGACACATATTTTTAAGGGGCAAGACTGAAATGAAAGATACAAAATTCGTGGTAACAAGCATAAATTATTCAGTTGTGATTATAATTATTAATGTCTACAGGCATTCTGATAGGAACATGATTATTTATAGCATATGGGAACAATTTTAAACAATTTCTAAATTCCATTCCATTTCTAAATATTTATTCTTAAATATAGATTACATTTTTTTTTTGTCTTTTTCCTTTTTTATCAGTACCAGGGATCAACCTCATGAGCACTCACTTGCAAGGCAGGCGCTTATGCTGCTGAGATAAAACCCCAGCACTTAGATTACATTCTTATAAATGAATAAAAGATATTCTGAAATTCCAGAATCTTTATTAAAATATACCATCTTTTAAGAGCTGCAAACTCTCACAGAGGCACAATCAGTAGTGTGCACAGGGAAACACAGAGGTGGGTCTGTAAAAGGGCACTTGCATGGTCACACAGGCTCTGAAGACAGGACAGTCCCTTCTCTCTGAGCATCTTCAACTTCAAATTTGGAGCAGGGTTCTGAAACCTCCTTGTGAGTTCAATTGATGAAGGAAAACTGCATAGAGCTAAGAGCCACGTTTAAGTCACAGAGTTTTGCTTTTACCTATGGTATGCATGGGCTGCCAAATGGTTGTGTACAAAGCAAGCATTTCTGTGTAAAATTCTTGCATTAACATCATGTTTTACCAAAAAAGTGAGGTCCTACCATGAAATAAAAAGCATTATAACTATTTCAATAATTTTTCAACACTTATACTTATCCTCCATTTGTATGCAGGTCTCCCTGCTGTTAAACAGTTTCAAAGGAGCGCTGAAAAGAAATTACCACAACAATTCCCAGCTGCATAGGGTGGTACAACCCCATAAGCTTATCACTCTGTGAGGCTAGGAAGAGGGATCCAAGTTCATGTCTGATTTCTGCCTCTGAAACTTAGTGAAACACTGTCTCAAATTTAACAGGGGGTGAGCAGTGATGAATGGTGGGGATGCAGCTCAGTGAGAAGGTCCTAGGTGCAATCCTCCATTACCCCCCCAACACACACACACACACTAAGAAATAAGCAATACGAATTTAAAAAGCATTCCCATCTCTGTTCTTACAATTTCATTGATTTCTGCCAGGGCTTTCTTAACTGAATACAGTGACATAGTCTGTCACATGCCTCAACTAAATACAGATTCAAGGTGGACATTGTTCAAATTCCTGAAAATCTACATTTGTCAGCTTTGTGCCACTAGTGATTATAATGAGAGCCAGTAATGATAACAAAGAGATGTGGAATTCATCAAGATTAAGCCTTAACCATTAGTGAATTAATACAGAGCTTACCAGTGGCACTGAATGACCACAGGGGGGAAGGAAAGTGGTGGATTCTGCACAACAATAGGTTACACTGATGATACTCCTATTCACTTCCCATTGACAGTTGTAGAGAAAGACAAAAGGAACTTGGCCGGATTTTGTTGGAAAGGAGAGATTAGAAGGAAGTGGTATTTAATCCAACTCATCTAGAGATTTCTTCAGTTTCTGAGAATTAGGAATTCACCATTAAACATGCCTGTCCATTAAATGCTTCTGAGCTACGTCAGAATCTTGAGGAAATATTTTGAAATATCCATGTCAGGGCTTAAGACATTTACTGAACCCAAATCTCCAGGGCAGAGCCTCAACTGTTTCAAAACTTTCTCCTGACCACAGAAATGCACAAGTCTAGATGAGGACTAGAGAACCTAGAAGATGACATCAGTCTCATCTCTCATCTACACAGCCACTACTTTTTACTAGTTCAGAATTTAGACAAAAGGAGGGAAGGTGAGAGACAGGTACTCCATGGAAGCTCCATTTAATCCTCTTGGCACAGGGCAGAACAGGGACTAGTACATTCAAAATACAACTGATCTCATCATACAAGCTCCTTAACTCCCAGCTCCCAGCAAGACATCATATGTTTGAAAGGACAATTCAGATTCTTATCTTAGTTGCGGTTTCTGACTGAAAAGGAGAGGATCTTTCTTAATTATTCTTTCATTTCCCTTGTTTCTTAATTAATTACCATTCATGCATGCCAAACTGGATTGCTGGAGTTCTCCTAAAATTTCAGGTTTACAATATATGATTCTCAATAAATGGGCGCAGCTTGAGACCATACTCATAAGTGAAATAAATCTATCTCGCATGTGTGAATACCGAATAGTTTCCCTAATGTAAGTAACGATTCAAATATATAAAAGTATGTGGTAATCATGATTTCCCCATTATGTGGCCTTGAAGCCTTATAAAGTTTTCACTTATTAACTTGGAAAGGCTTTATTCTGGGCTTCTTGATATGGAAATATTTGAAGCTATAGTATATGAAGTTATATTCAAATATTTCAAGGAAAAAGACAGACACTATGTTAACTGCAAGTAAGTCGGGTTATTTGGTGGTGAAGCACTAGGTTGCTGAAATTGTCATGCTTTGACCTGTATTGTTATGTTGTTATGTCCTCTTTTATCTCAATCTCTCCCTTATTCATTAAAAAGATTATTTAGTTATTTTTTATGGTTTTTTTAATTAAGGGGAAAAATTTTAAAAATTAGCAGGATATATTATAGTAACTTTTTTTGATTTCCTGTTAACTTGTTTTGAAGCCCTGTAATACTCCCACGATCTTGTTTTAACTGATTAGACTCTGTTCCGTTCTGTATGATAGTATCAAGAGTATAGGCAACTACTTTGAAGGCAATAAGATTCACTAAGATGCCCATTCTGGTTTGACTATTATCTCCTTTGGAAGTGCTGTAATGTTTACAATGTTTAGGTTTTATTGGTCTTGTTCTCTACTGTTTTGTTCAACTTTATAATACCTAATGAGATAGACAATTCTTTTTAAGGAAGCAAGAGGCATTATGGTAACCATTGTTGATAACCTTGTACTCTGTTATTACATCATGTACTGTGTCTATCCTTGGTTTTGACTGACAGCTTTGTTTTCCCATATTTGACTTTATTCTCTTCCCAAAAAAACAGTAATAAGAACTAAGGAGTAATAAAACCCAAAATATATAATTTTGTTGTAAAAAAGAGAGGGAAAAAAAGTGCTCTACAGGATATAACTGCAAGTGTGTTTAGGGGTGTTAAATAGCTGACCATATTAATGTTTTTGGTTGGATCATTGAACACAACTGTTTGCAGTCTCTCTGTTTGAATGTTCACTTTGTATGCTTTGATACTCTGACTTGAGCAGATATCTCTAGGATGATAATGTGTAATCTATTAACTGGTGATTTCTTAGTGTTTTTTTTTTTTTTTGTAGTTCTTTATTACTTGTACTCTTAAACTGCTTTGTTTTGTTTTGGTTTTTCTCTTTTTCCTTTTAAATAAAATTTAAAAAAAACAATTATATGGTTTTCTTTTCTACTAAGAATTTTTAAGAGGATGGAAATGTAGCTCAGCATCACACAGTGCCTGGCTGGTAGGTGCAAGATTCAGAGTTTGAGTGCCACTATTGAAAAAAGCATGTAAAAAGAAAAATTAAAAAAAAAAAACAGAATAAAGAGTTTTTATTCTCAAGCTAGGTACAGCCAGTAATCACTGCACTATGGGAATATGAGGCAGGCACATCGCATGTTCAATCTCAAATAAGACAACTTCATATCCTACCAAAAATAAAACATAGCACAGTTGAACAAGAGACACAGCTCTGTGTGAAGGGTCTGTGTTCAATTTCCAGTAATAAGTAGAAAACAACAAATTTTATTCCTAAAATTGAAGAGCATCTTATCTATGCACATGAACCAGAAACTATATTCCTTCAGTAGCAACTAATCAACAACCAAACACTATTGGCTTGCATTATTTCTAATCATTTTTCCTTGTCATTTTTCCCATTTAAGTCAAGTCACCAAAAATGGATCATTTTTATGAACTGTCAACAGCAACAACATTTCCACTTATTCTAAAATACTGTTGTTCTACAACAGAAAAAAAACCACCTGGTAGGACAAGCAGAAATCAAAGAACTGGATCACAACATGGCAAAGTCAAGCCAGTACATACCACTGATATGCATAAATGTAAACGGTCTCAATTCACATATCAAAAGAAATAGGTTGAAAGAATGGATCAAGAAACATGATCCCACAGTATGCTGTATACAAGAAACACATCTGACCACACTGAAATTAGAAATTAATGGCAGAATAATTGTGAAACCTGTATAATTACATGGAAATTAAATCACAACCCTTTGAAGAACCAGTGGGCCACAGATAAAGAAGAAATAAAGCAATAGCTACAAATCAATGAAATGCAGACACAACATACTGTAATCTATGGGACGCAATGAAAGCAGACTTAAGAAGGAAATATATATCAATAAATTGTTATATCAAAAAAAAAAGAATGACAACAAATAAACAACCTAATGCTTCATCACAAGCTTCTAGAAAAAGAAGAGTAAGTTAAACCCAAAGCTCATACAAGAGAGGAAACTGTAAAGATTAGAGCAGAAATCAATGCAATGGAAATTTAAAAAACAGTACAAAGAATTAATGGAACAAAAAACTGGTTTTTTGAGAGACTAAACAAAATTGACAAGCTTCTAGCTAACCTTATTAAGAAAAAGCCTAAATTCAGGCAATAAAGACCAAAAAGGGGGAAATTACTACAGATCCCATGCAAATTCAAAACATCATGAATACCTACTTTGAAAATCTCTACTCACATAGCGTGGGAAATACAGAGGAAATGGACAGATTTCCAGAACCATATGAACTATCAAAGCTCAACCAAGAAGATACAGCAAATTTAAATAATCCGGTATCAACTATTGCAATTAAAATTATAATTAAAAACTTACCAACAAAGAAAAGCCCACATCCTGTGGATTCATGGCTAAATTCTACAAAAAATTTAGAGAACTTCTCCTTAAACTGCTTAAACACTTCAATGAAAATGAAAAGGAAGCAATCCTCCCTAAATCATTCCTGGAGGCAAGTATAACTCTCATACCAAAACCAGAGAAAGACCCAACCAAAAAGGAGAACTATAGGCCAATCTCACTAATCAACAGTCATGCAAAGATTCCCAATAAAATACTGGCAAGAATAGAATGCAGCAAAGAATCAAGAGATTATACATAATGACCAAGTGGGGTTCACTCCAGGAAGGCAGGAATACTTTAACATATGCAAATCAATAAATGTAATACAATCCATCAACAGAGCCAAAAACAAAAACCGCATGGTCGTCTTCACAGATGCACAAAAAGCTTTTGATAAAGCCCAACACATGTTCATGATAAAAACCTTTCAGATACTCAGAACACATGGTGTCTACCTCAATCTTATGAAGCCAATCTATGACAAATCAATAGCCAACATTATACTAAATGGACAAAAGCTGAAAGCTTTTACTTTAAAATCAGAAACAAGACAAGGATGTCCACTTTCACCATTCCTATTCAAATACGTTCTGGAAACACCAGCCAGGGTAATCACACAAGAGAGAGAAATAAAATGAATAAATATAGGAAAGGAAGAAGTTAAATTATCACTATTTACAAGTGACATGATACTCTATGTAGAAGACCCAAAAATTTCCATTAGAAGACTGTTAGAAATAATAAAAAAATTGAGTAGTGTAACTGGATCCAAAGTCAAAACTCAAAAACAAATAGCATTCCTGTACTCAACCAAAAAAAACTCACCGAGAGAGAATTTGTGGAAATATCACCTTTCACAATAGCATCTAAAATAATGAAATACTTAGGAACCAAGCTAACTAAGAATGTAAAAGACCTATTTGCTGAAAATTATGCTACACTACAGAGGGAGATTGAAGAGGATATTACAAAATGGAAGAGTATTCCTTGTTCTTGGCTAGGAAGACTCAATATTGTGAAAATGGCCATACTCCCAAAACTGTTCTACAGATTTCATGCAATTGCAATCAGAATACCATTAACGTGCCTCACAGAGCTAGAGAAGACACTCCTGAAATTCATTTGGAAACAGAAGAAACCTAGAATAGCAAAGGCAATTCTGAGAAACCAAGGTAAGGGAGGAAGCATCTCAATTCCTGACCTGAAACTCTATTACAAAGGCACAATGATAAAATGAGCAGGGTATTGGCAAAGAAATACACCTGGGGAACAATGGAACAGATTAGAAGATGCAAGCACAACTACAAAAACAATCAACCACCTGATATTTGACAATGGGGCTAACCATGTTCACTCTTTAATAAATGGGGCTGGAAAAACTGGCTCTCTGCATGCTGAAGACTGAAAATAGACCCATGCCTATCACCAAGCACAAAACTATAAGTCTAAATGAACCAAAGACCTAAACATTAATACAGAAACCTTAAATCTACTGGAAGACCAGGTAGGCAGAAGACTTGGAGACAGAGGTAGGCAGAGATTTCATGAACAAAATGTAAACTGCATGGGAAACACGTCAAAGAATCAACACCTGGGATCTCATATTATTCAAAAGTTTCTGCACTTCAAGAGAAATCACTAACAGAGTGAAAAGAAAACCCACAGAATGGGAAACAATTTTAGCCAACAACTCCTCAGACAAAGGACTTATATCCAGAACGTGTAAAGTATTGAAAAACATCAAGCCCAAATTCAGAGACCCTCTCCAAAAATGAACATCTGAGATGAACACACATTTCTCAGATGAAGATATACAAATGGCAAATAATTACAATGACGGTGAAAGAAATGTTCACCATCATTGGTCATTCGAGAAATGCAAATTTAAACATCATCGAGATTCTCACTCCGAAAAGAATAGCTGCAATCAAGAAATCAACTGATAACAAATGCTGGCGAGGCTGGGGGGGGGGCGCGGGAGGAACAATGCTCCACGATTGCTGGCAGGGTAGACTGACACAGGCACTATGGAAATCAGTATGGAAAATTTGCAGAAGACTAGGATTGGAAGTTCCATTCGGTCCAGTGAGTTCCCTCATTGGTATTTTCCTAGAAAAATGGAAAATGTCATATACCTGTGAGATATGTGCAGCCATGTTCATAGCAGCACAATTTGTAATAGCTAAAACTTGAAAAAAACCAAGATGCCCATGAACTGCAGAGTGGATGAAAAAGATGTGATATTTTTATACAATAGAATATTACTCAGCTATAAAAAGGTTGCTGTTGAGGCTTTCATAGACAAATGGAGACAATTTGAGGCTCTTCTCACTAATGAAATAAATAAATAATCATATTTATAAATATCACAGTGTGTCTCTAGTGTGAAATGTAATAAGAAATGTAGGAGTAGTCAAACACAAAATGTGTAATTGCTGTTGTGAAAAAGAGAGGACAAAAAACTGATCTAAAGGCTACAACTGCACGTATGTGTGACAGTAGATTTGATAACCCTATTAGTAAATTTTTCTTGGAGAGCTGAAAAGAACAGTTTGCAGTATTGCTGTTTGACCAGCCACTTTGTGTGCTTTACTTTTGTAACTTGAACTATATCTAAAAGAACAGTATGTGATTTATCAACTAGTGATTTCTTACTGTTAATTATTTTTGAAATTATGTGCTATTTCTACCATTTTCCTGTTGTTTCTTTTAAATAAAAAAACACTATTGCTCTGCTTAAGTTTTAAAATAAAACCAAATTCTGAGGTTAATTTTGCTATCTTGTGCTGTTTTACACTACTGCAAAAAAGAAAGAAAGAAACCTTTTGAAACAAAAATTTTACATTTTAAAATTCAGTGTGTTCACAAATACTGTAAGTGCATAAAAGAAACTCACATCCTCTAGCATTTCATTAAAACTATCAACATTGAAAGTGAAAACATTAACTATTAAGTTATTTCAAACAGTGTATTCATGAAACACTTGAGTTTCTACATGTGGAAAACTGACCAACCAATATGTCACTGTGAACAGGAAAGTATTTCAGAAACTTTGGAAAGAAAATTCAGTGCTCTATACCTTGTTTTTTGCCTCAGCATCGGCACCATGCGAAAGCAGTTTTGCTGTTAGTGAAGACTTTGGATGAAATACCGAAAGATGCAGAGCAGTGTCGCCCTTGGCATTGGCAATATTTAGATTTGCACCATGCTCCAAGAGAATACTAGCACAGCCTTCCTCGTAGCATTTTACAGCCTGTGGGTATTGTAATAAAGGAGACACCATCAGCTCAAGAAACTCCAAACACACTTTCCACATGCCTGGCCAAGGAGTTATATTCAAATTACACTGACTGACTTTGATTTTCAGCATTTAAATACAATCCCTCCCATGCTGAAATTGTTGGCTGCTATTTACCTTAATCAGAGCGGTGTCATAGTCACTGTCACAGGCATTAATATCACACTTGCTCTTTACCAAGAGAGTCACCACTTCTGGATGGCCATAGGCACTGGCATAATGCAGAGCAGTCCTGGGACAGTCAAGAAGATTATTAGGAAATTACAGCGCTCCATTTCAAAATGCAAAATTATTTATGGAATTATTATGAAAATTAAATATCTTTAACAAGAAGTATTTAATTGTCTTTGAAAACATAGAATGCTTCACAGCTCTTACTGCTCACCTGTGAATGGAAGTGCAAGTGGGTAACGCTTAGTGTGGGGGATGGAAGCTGCTGTCTTGCACATAACTAAACAAGGTCCCTGCACTGCGCTACCTCCCAGCCTAGTGCAACCCACTGGAATTAGTAAGAACAGGCCTCAGATTCAGCTCAATTGGAATTTAATTTCTACCCTAAGTTCTTACTTTCTAGCCATCCTTTGGCCCTTCTGTGCCTCGGGATTCTCACCTACTAAATGAGAACTGAAGTTCTCAGTTCTCTCAGAAGACACCACTGAGATGGTTAAATAAGAATCCACACAAAATATTTAGAACAACTTGTAGAACAAATAACAGCTCAATAATTGTCAGATACTATAATGTCTACTATTACTACTTAACAAAGACAATATTTCAATTAAGTAAAATAAAATAATTAAGATGGACATTCTTTGTGGGGTTAGGATTATTTCAATAAGCCTCCAGACACTTTTTCTCATATTTTAACACCTCTGTCATTGGAAAGGCACACAAAGCTCAGAAGACAAAAGCTCTTGTGTAACTATACCTGGTAGTGTGGAAGGTCCCCTCCTGACCTTTGGAGTATGGGGGCTTTTTACTGCGTAGGATCAAACACTGTGTATGCTACTGATGTGACTCTGTAACAAAAACCAGCCTGTAAAATGTTAAGGTATACCGACCAGACTGGAAAATCCTTGCATGTGCCCATATAAGGGTGATGAAAAGACAAAAATTGAATAAAAAGGGGCTAACATGCGATACTAGGCATGAATCTGCTGAGTTAGTCTGAGCAGCAATGAAGCTGCTTCCTGGGCAAAAGGCTTCAGTATCCTGCAGTGGCTTTAAAAAGTTTTCTTCATATGGCATCATCACATGATTCATAGTAAAATCTCTAAGTACAGACAATTATTTTATATCTTTATTTTTGAAGAAGCAAAAAGTTGTCAGAAATACCAATACACACACAGAAAAAATGAAAACTATCTGTGCTTAACTAATGTTTGTGTTTTTCCCAAGAATTATTTTATTAATAGACAACTTTCACTAGAATTTTATATTTATTTATTGTAGAAATCAAGGATAAGAGAAAGGAAAGAAGGGCACACAGAACCATTATTGCCATTACTAATCATGAGATAGTACAAAATGAAAGGCACAAAAATGTAAAAATACAGAATATTCAACATTGTTTCTGGTGCCAATGAAACTCTGTTAGAGTGAAAAAATTAATGAGAAACTCTTAAATATTATGAGTAGAATGACTTTCTAGATAATAAAAAAGAACAGAAAATTTCACCTCTCGTTCAAATGCCTAAAAATAACAAATTTTGCCACAACTTGTATACATTTTCTGACTAACACAAGACTGCAGCCTATTTGTGTGTAGGCAAAAGTAAACTGACTCTCATCTCAGTGGATATATCAAAGTGCATCTTTCCCTGTTAAAAATACATTCATGTGATGCCAATTTCAGTGATTATATATCACTCCATCCTGCAATGCACTGCAACTGATACAATCTTTCTGTGGATCCATCACTATGTTAAGCAACAATGAAGAAAAGCACATTTAACGTGTCTGTATGTTCTGAAGGTATTCTAGAAAGGAACTGATGAGTGGACATACGCTTTCCTAAACTGTGGTACAGTACTTGAATCAAATTTCCTATTTGAAAAGGTCATAAGCCATCTCCAATTTTAAGCAGCAGGATAAACTGCTCTTCATCCTCACAAACTCTGTAGCTGAAAAATATTTCACTCCATTGTAAAATTAAATTCTCCTTATCAGGAACACTAAACATTTCTTTTTATGTTTACAGGTCATTTGTCAAACCAACCACCTAATTTAGAGTTTGATATAGCTCAGTGGTACAGTAGGATTTGACGCTCACAGTGTGTGCTATCTACCTTTAAAGTAAATTAGTATTCAATTTTTTGATGATTTTCAAACAATCACCTTGAAATATAAAGATACAGTTTTCATCTGATGTATCTATGATGTATATTTCATCTGATATATGGTTTATGATATATCTGTCTCTATTTTATTTTATTTTAGTTTAGTTTTTGGTACTAGAAATCTGACTCAGGACCTCACACTTTTCAGACAGGCACAGTGCCACTGACCTATATCCCAGGTCATTGTTGTAAATGTCTTACAAATATGTTGTATTTCATTTGGTCAATGTTTTCCTAATATAAAGGAACATTTAATTTTTCTTTTGAGAGTTAATCTTCATAATGCAGGTCAGGAAGGGGATGGCTGAGTGGTAGTGTGTTTCACATGCACCAGGACCTAGCAGCAACCCCCAACACAAAAAAATGAATGCTCATTGTGACGGTCACTTCTAGGAATATGCAAATGTGTTTGTTTTTGCTAATTTTCTCATTTTGTATGATCTAAAATTTTTATTTCTATGCCACTGGAAACTTTTGTGACATAAAATCTACATTTTTTGAAATGGTTTACATTTCATTCATGTATCATTCCAGTTTTTCAACTAAAATATGTGAGGATCAACTTCTAAATTCTGACAGATATTTGAATGTATCCAGATTTTCTATTAAGTTACATTCATTTGTCTATCTTTTGGGCTGTTAGAAAATAATTAATTTGTGAAAATAACTTACCTTGATATCTACGAAGGTGGGTCTTCACTATATTTTCTTAGTGACCCCAATGGCAAAACAACAAAGGGAAACTCAAGTGTTGCACATTTTTTTCGTTGCATAAGCAGATACACAAAAAGCTCACATTTGGGGACTAATGGAACTTTCTAGCCAAGAACATAGAGCTGCCTTCCCAATTCAGTTTCCTTATAAAGGTCCTTAGTACAGAACATACATGCACAGATGGACACTGATAGTAAATGGACACTAGGTTTTTAGAAGCTTAAGTTTCAGCCCTAAATTTGTAGATTACAAGAAACATGCCACAGTTCCCTTTTTTATAATATGTACAATTCTCTTAATGTGATACTAAGAACAAAACACTACACACACATCATACCAATGTTAAATAGCTTTTCAGTAGTCAATGAAGTGGCCTACAACAGGAAGTACAAGTCCATTATAAACCAGTGGGAGGTTTGTTTTTATGTTGCAGCTTATGAGCACTGCCTGAGGATCGACCCTCTGGCCAGCTTTGCTTCCCTGGGTGTTGGGAATCCCCCTGCACCCTCCTCACCCACTCCTCCCTCCTGAGCCTGAGACCCTCGCTCTCCTGCATCATCCCAGCCCCACTCGCCGCCCCTGGTCATGCAGCCCCATTACCTGCGTTCTCTGTCTCTGTCATGGACATGGCCTGCTGTGATGAGAAACTGCACCCGGTCCTTGTTGCCCTTACGGGCAGCCTTGTGAATCTTGGGCATTGGCTCACCAAAGATGCTTTGCAATGCAACCTTGCAGTTTTTCAGAAGGCCCACAGGCCTCGATGGTCCCGGGTCCCCACTGGACAAGTTCTTCTGGGCACAGTCTATAGAGAGTGCAAGCACCTCAGGGACCCTGGACCTCTCACTGCCTTTCAGTGAAAGCCAAGCAACCCCTCATTCAACCCCTAGGCTCTAATGGCCTCTGCACATGCACATCTCCACAGCTCTGGAGCAAGCAGCCTATCGTGCACAGGTGCTGAGCAAAAAGCCTAACTATCCCCATTAATGTGGACTCACCAGATTCTGGTAATGTTGCAAGTGGTTGTTTATCATCAGATTTCAAATTCTCTGATTTCTCAGCAGTCTCATAACAGGAGGCCAAACACCAATCTGAATCAAAATAGAAAGTTTGATATTTTGGAATGTAATAGTACTACAACCATAACTAATGTACAAACCCATTCCTCAGAAGCAGTCTCCCGTGTTTCTCTGCTCCACAGTACAATAATGCCTCAGGCTTACTGTGCTACACAGCTTCTGTGCTTGCCACTCACTCAGCGGAGTTTCATTATCACCACCATTTCTCATTCTTCTGTTTTCACTTACTTGAAGTATTATGATTTACCCAGCAATCTCTTTTACATACATTAATTTCTAGGACAGTTGATTTAATTCTTTAGGGAAACAAATTTCATTTCACTGCTATGAGATGTCAAATGTGTAAATAATGAGCAAATTGCATAAAACAGAGTGTGAATTAGGGAGAAACTGTTTCAAGGACAGTGGAACTAGGGAAGGGGCGGGCCAATGGAAAGAAAGAGAAAAAGGATCCATTTCTTAAAAGAAATGAATCAGACATACACGTATCAATATCATATTGTTTTTCTAGAGGGAGAAACTCAAAATTGTAAATCAGCACTAAACTGTGCAAGGATACTGGAAAATATTCAAATAGGAAGGGGAACAGGGTGCTGCGTGAGAGGGAGAGGAAATAAAGAAAAAGGAAAAGAACAGACAGTGCTGGGGATTTAGCTCAACAGCAAAAGTGCCTGCTCTGCAAATGTAAGGCCATGAGTTCAATCCCTGGTGCCCGCACTCCCCCAAAACAACGGACAGGAGAAAATAGAGACAAGGCTTTTGTAAATAAGCAGGTTAAGGTGATCACTTGAAGGGAGAGGGAGGGACTGGGGATAAAGCAATCAAGAAATATCTTATACAGTAGAAGCTTACTCTAATGAATGTTATCCTTATGGATATCTAAAATGCACCAGTATAATCAAATGGAAAAACAAAAATGAAAATTGTCTATTGTACTATAAACACACACAATATTGTTTCCAAGACTCAAAGACATGGATGTTAATCAATATATTACTTTAAATTCTGAAAACTACAATGACATACATACTTCCATGTGCCATTGCTGTTAGATAGAATTCACTTTATAAATTTTGATAACATCACAAATTCATAAGAAAAGTGCCGGCTCTCCGGGACCTTATTGTGCCCATGTACGAACTAGTTTAGTCCAGGTCACTCGTAGTGAACCTTTGGCACATGCTCCACAGTGGGCTCTTTGCTATCACTGAAAGCCCTAGAAGGCTCACTGTCTCCAACCAAGACACACATTAGTCCCAGCGAATGGCTGGAGACAAGAAAGGAAAGCACAATGACACAATGCCGTTTTTCTTTATAAACAAAATTGTCACACTTATAAAATTAAAGACAACTGAAAGAAAACAGGAGATAGAGAGTTTAAATGGCAGTTCGCTGTGAAGAAGCTCTTTGTCACTTGGCGTTCATGGACAATACTTATTGTTGAAATGGTGGTTTAACAGTGAATTAGAATCCCTGAAGCTCAAGGTTCTAAGAGGACAAATAATTCCAAAGGTTAAGTGCAATTCCACACTCATTCCCTATCTTGATGGGGCCTAGCAGACTGAAGTTTTCAGAAATGTAACGTCTCATCTGTCATAGTTCCAATGATTCACGAATCACAGCTCTAATGGATATTGGCATATGTGACTGCATGCTGGTATCTTACAGCTTTTTGTTCTTGTTGTTTGTTTCTTTGTTTTAGTACTGGGGATCAAACTCATGAGCTGCATTAGCCAGGCCGACACTTCTGTTGCTGAGTTAAATCTCCCGCCCCACTATTCTCCATCTTTCAGATTTAGTCTCTACTAGAGTGTCAATAGATTCAACATACTTTAATAAGAAACCTCTGTAGATTATGTAAGATCTTTTACGACTCTAAAAGGAATTCCAGCTAAAGTTTGAGAATCTTTGTTGTGAAGAATTGTATCGAACAGTCACTAAGAATGATTACGTCTGCACACTTAATAATCAAACGTATGAGACACCATATATACACACTCACACAGTCTGCTTTCGAGAAAATCTATCTGCTTAAAATCATGAATATACCAAGGCTGAGATGAAATAAAGTGGACACACAGTGGGCATATTACTAAGGAGAGCTTTACTCTAGACAAACATCAGAATCACTGTAAGCATATTTGCTAGCGGTAGTGAACTAAATCATGGGTATCAGTGAGCCACTTGCCACTATCGCCTGAGTAACCGGGACTCTGGGATGCCCAGAGGAGCCAGCTCTCTGGGAAGCACCCACACACTTTGCAAAGATCGTGGAATTTTATAGTAAGTTTTGTGGATCCCTGTGAAGTATAAGGATCCAAGCTGAAAACATTGGATATTAAAACATACGTAAACAATTCATTAAATATTATTTTCTCTTGAGCTTATTAGCACCTTATTTGCAAATATGCACACCAATAATTACACCGGCAGTATTTATGGCAAAGCCTTGCCAACATTTGGAGACAAAATGGAGATGACTGCAGGCATATCAAACAATTTAGGGTACTGTACTTCATTACAGAGGAATCTGTATTGTGACATGTACCTGGTTGAGGTGGCAGTGCATCCTTCACTCTTACTGCTTTCTTCCCATCAGAATCTTTTGTTTCCACAGCAGGCTGAATGGGATTTAAAGTAAAGTGATTACTACACACTGCATACCTCCTAAAATAGGCAGTTCGTTCAAAATACAAATATACAGTCCTTACCTTCAAGGGAAGATGTGTGTCAGGTGATTCTAAAGAGGAAAAAGGGAAAATAAACTTTAGACAGCAATATGAGAAAACCAAGCATACATTCATGAAGACTTAGGACACAGCCGAATCTTCATGCTATGCTTGGGAAATGATTACCTCAGGTTTCAGCTCCTTTCCGACTGGTGAGAACAATATGACAGAAAAATTAGAACACAGGTCAAACATGATTTCCAATGTGCCACCATACTGCCAAAGATCATAACTAAAATAGGAAGTGAGCATATTCCAATCTGTACATGTGAACTGCTGCAAAACAGTGATCTTGGGATGTCATGATCCTGAGGGGCTGACTATCAAAGCTGACAGGAGAAGGGAACAGCATATAAACTGAACAAAGCACATCATCCATTGGTACACCGTTGCATACATGTAGGTGCTCTCGAGATGTCCACCACGGCAGAGCGCACAAATGGTGTGTTCCTAATATTGTTATTTTAAAAGGTGAGATTGTGCTCCGCTATCCATGGTGCCCTTCAATTTCTGGACATGAACGATCCCTCTGCCTCAAGTTTTCAAATAGCTTGAACTCAAAGGATATGCACAACACCTGGCAACATTTTCATGTATTTCTTTTAAATATCAGTACTCTGTACACAACCATTTTGTGTGAAAGTTGGGGACATGTCTAAGGAGAAGCTGCCCAGTAAATTCTCAGTGATTTCCACTGATCCAGTGAGAATCAATCCATACAAACTGAAAGAAATTGTAAGAAATCATTAATATGTGGTTTTGGAAGCATCTTTGGGGATATGTCCTGCACATAGTGACAAACACATAATTCTTGTGAATTCAGAGCAATTAGCACTAAAAGAAAGAAGTTGCATCTGAGTAGCAATCTGTAGATCTCTCCCTAGTCTTTCTTTCCACCCAGAAGCTCTAAGTCTATTGACACTCTCTCTCAAATGTATGCTAAACACTCGCCTAAATAAAATTAGTCTTCCTTCTGATCTTCTTCATAATTTTTACCATGCTTTGGTAAGACAAAGACCATGACTGCCTTGTGGATAGACACTGTTTGGTTGGCAGCTGCATTGGAGGTGTACAACACAGAGCAGATTCTACCACCAAAAGATTTCTGAAAAAGCATAATTACTATAGTAGAAAACCACGCACAGGTGCTACAAGTTGAATTAACTCTGCTACTTTATTACTTCCCTTATGCTGTTTTCTGGTTGGCATGAATCATGCAACAAGGTGAGTACGACTGCCCAACAGAAACACAGCTCCAATACTCATCAGTATTTACCCATTGTGGTTGACTCACTAGATTCCAGGAAGAGGGATAGAATCTGCATCACTGAGGGTGTTGCAAGGGGACATATATCAACAAACTTCAAATTCTATGATCTCTCAAAAGTCTTATTAGTCTGATGCAAACTCAAGTGGGAATCTAAATATAAAGTTTGATTTATTAGGATACAACGATACTACGCAGATATCGATTGTACAAATCCATTCCTCAGAAGCAGTCTCCTGTGTTTCTCTGCCCCACAGTACAATAATGCCTCAGCCTTACTGTGCTCCATAGCATCTGTGCTGGCCACTCACTCAGCTGACTTTCATTCGCACCATCATCTCTCATTCTTCTGTTTTAACTTAATAGTATTATCCCGATTTACCTTTAATTTCCAGGACTATCGATTGTTAAGTCTTTAGGACTGTGAATTTTATTTCATTGTTATTAGATATCAAATGTGTAAATAAAGAGCAAATAGTGAAAAAGGTATTGTGAAGCAGGGCAAAATTGTTTAAAGGAGAGGGGAACTAAAGAAGGGGCAAAGCCAATGGAAAGAAAGGGGGGAAAGACTCCATTTCTTAAATAAAATGAATCTAACACACACATTTCAACATCGTACTGTTTTTCTAGTGAGAGAAACTGCAAAGTGTAAATGAGAACAAAACTGTACAAAGACACTGGAAAATATTCCAATAGGAATGGGAACAGGGTGGGAGGGTAAGAGGGAGAAGAAGTAAAGGAAAAGGAAAAGAAAAAAACAACAGAGAGAACAAAATAGAAAAAAAGCTTTTGTAAATAAACAGGGTAAGGGGAGACCTTTAAGGGAGAAGAGATTGGAGAAAAAAGAATCAAGAAGTATCATATAGAGGCAGAATCTCCCTCTAATGAAGGGGATCCTTATGGGTATCTAAAATGTACCAATACAATGAATTTGATGCAATAAATTTAAATTTTCTGTTTTACTATAAACACACACAACGTTCGCCATTGGTTAGAACAATATGACAGAAAAACTAGAATATACATCAACCATGATTTCCAATGTGACATTATACTTGCAAGGACCATAACTAAAACAGGAAGTGAGCTTTACATGCTGACTGCTGAGAAAAAGTAATCTTAGCAAGTCATGACCCTGAGAGGCTGAGTGTCAGAGCTGACAGGAGAGGGGAATAGCATATAAATCGAACATAGTACATCACCCATTTGTACACCATTGCACTCCAAGTATCTGTGGTTTTGCATTTCTCCTGCACTGCAACTGGTACATAAGTTTGGTCATCATCAAGAGGAATTTAAACTTTGTGTTCTCACAAAACAGTTAGCCATACATGTTCAGCATAATAATTAATAAACCCAGTCATGTTTTCTATGTCCTTGTGGGCCATGGCTATGCCTACATTTCTTGTATCCTCAAAACTAGTTTGGCCACATCTTGAAATTTGTTGAATCCCTCATGAATGGAACATAAACCATATCTGAGACATAATGCTACATCAGTTTTCAACATTGAAATAGTTATCAAAATGCAAAAAGCTGAATAGTCAGGGAATTGCTAGATACTAGGAAACTTTTACATTTAAAATCAGCACAATATTTACTAACAGGTAACAATTTTGGCCTTCAAGGAATGAACTGAACAATGTCTCTTGGTTCATTTTTAAAGGATTTGTGTGGAAAAGCTATTTTATCAAAACTTACTTATCTTAAAAGGAGTCAGTGCTTCTATGTGCAAGCTAATCTCACGTGAACAATGATCAATTTCACAGAAAGCTCTGATGCCTGATGACTAGGCGGGAAAGGAGGGAAGTACCTGCAGTGTAAGCCAAGGCTAGCACTCCTCCCTGCTCTGAATCATCCCTGAACAGCCACAGTCTACTCTGTCACTTGCAAACACATACTCGAAAGCTGTGGGGAGGGAGTCCTCTCAGTTTGCATCATCCATTCCAAAGTTACTGTCTAGCTTTGTTCTTCCCTATCCTCCTCCCCTAATAAGTCCCTGTTCCCTTCCAAACTGACCTAGTTCTATGGTCTTGAGTGTTTCCATTTACGGCTTTTTGCGGATTATTCCTACCACTACTTTCTTTAGTTGGCAGAAATGGCAGTAATATCTTAGAATTACAACTTCTATTTCTTCTCTGTTCATTGCTTTACTCTCTCCCCTGTGACTAGAACTATTTTCAGAAATACAAACAGGAAAACAGGCACGAAATGGTTCTCCCTTGACCTTGTTATGTCTTGAACTAGTTCTTATCCAATGACTCTCGTCCAGATTTCTCTACAGGGAACTTGATACTGGCCCATCTTCAGTGGTCTGAGGATGAGTGACATGAGCATCCCTGGAGACCTTCTTAGAAACACACCACCTTAGTCCTGCTGACTCAGATGTGTGGTGTAACAAGTTCCCCCACAGGGGCTTCATTTCATAACTAAAGCTCCAGGCCACAAACCTAATCGCTTCCAAATCCACTTCCCTTCCCTTCCTTCCATTTTTGGAATCTAGCACCAACTTCCTCCTCATCCTGTCAACTAAATTGAAAATGCATAACAGGCCATCCCCGTTCTAATGGACTTTTAACTGAGACTATGGCTTTCCTGAACTCAATGACTAATCATTCCTTTCTTTCTAGTTTTTGACTGTCGCATTCTGGATGTACTACTTGCTGAAATAGCAATGTTTTTAAGTGGTAAACTTTTAAATGGAACTCTGCAACCAGCATTGCGGGAAGAAGTAAGAGCGTGAACCAAGGTACCAGTGAAACTACACGTACAGCGAACAATGCTCGTTTACTTTGATCTGTAGTAAATGAAGTAGAGCTCTGTGTAATTCACTACTTCAATCCTCAATACCTTTCCAATCGTGAGAAGACGGGGAAAGACGAAAACTTCTGCCCAACCTCTCTGCAAGTTTTGTTACTCGGTGCTCAATTGATATAATTCCTATAATTCTTCCTAATGGCTCTTCCTTTTTCTAAATGATTACGTCATTTTCCCACACCCATACTTTCTCTTACCTTTGCCTACTCCCTGTATTGTGGCTCTCTCTTTTCCCTCACTCCCTCCTCTCCTCTTAATTTTCTAACATCCCTCAGACATTAGAATGCCTTGAAACGGAGCTAAGAAGGTAGCTCCTTCAGTGACTCTCAAATTTGCCTGTGGCTGATACGTCAGGGTACATGAAACTTATTGCTGTGTTACTTCTCTTTTTTCTTACTTTGTCATTAATAAGTAGTTTTGGGGGATTCAGAACTCAGCCATGCTCCACTGTGAAATAAACATGCTGTCAAATGACTTTCTTAAAATATCACACATTTATACATATTTCTTACCTTTTCTTTTTCTATTTCCTGCCTGTTTTCCTCCATCATCTGCTTTCCCAGAAAAAGGATCGACAGGCTTCTGTGGAAAATTCACAGAGATACTCTGAGAAAATTCATATAGCAGTAATGAGTTGCACAACCATTACCTACTCATTTCCCAAGAAGTTATCTGAGTTTTACCATCTTAAGGCAGGCAGGTTTAATAATGGGAATCACGTACTGAGGACCAAAATGTCTCCAATGAGAGCCTTATGAGAAGCCCAGCTTCGGTCTCCACATGGGTGCTGACTTTGTAAAGCAGGCATGGAAAGCCACAGGAGGGATTCAGAGACAAAATTCCAGCTGATAAACATATTTCATCCTAACGTCGGAGGAGACAAAGTACTCTGCACTCTCCAATGAATGGAACATTGAAACACACAGATTTAAATGAAGAAGTTTATATGAGAGTATGTTTGTGATATACAATTACATTTGTTTTGGGGAACTGCTACATTCGTTATCATTTCTTCATTGCCTTGGTTCCCTTTACACCCTAACATCACTTTCCCTTCCCTGAATAAACAAATTCTTATAAATATACTTGTTACCATTCACCACTAAGCATTTCTAATCACAAAAGCCACGTCACTGTTAAAATAATTGGCCAGCTAAGAAGCTTCAGAGAGCCATGCTGAGTACAAAGAACATCGCAGGCACTGCTCCACTTGTGTAAACAAGGGCTTAGAAGAAAAACAATTATGAGTAAAACTTTTACTGCTTGAAAAGATGTTTGAAACTTAAAATATACTAATAACTTCATGTTATATTCAAGTAAGAGCACACAAATATTGGACACTATATACAACTATTTCCCAATTAAGGGAGAACTTTTTAAAAGTATAAAAAGAGCTGCAGCATAAAACCTTTTTTAATTTATTAAGTGCCCAAAACTTGCTCATACTGATTTGCATGTTTTCTTTTCTGTCTGTCGCAAAACTGTAAATAACTGTGATGAAAGTTGATGCACTTCCTGCTTTCAGGTCACTGTAGGGTGCTACAATGATAGCCAGACATGGCTCATGGCTCCCTGCTCTCTGCCCACAGTGTCCTCGAGACTTGACTGGGCTGGCTCTTTCTCACTCTTAAATTAGCAGCACTTCACGCTCATTCCCATCCTTACCTCAAACTCCCTTGGAATTCTCTAACCTATGCAGGCCTGGCAGTGCACACCTGTAATTCCAAACTTCTGGAGGTTTGAGACATCAGAAGCACTAGTTCAAGCCCAGTCTGGAGAATGTGGTGACTTAGAAAGACCCTTATCTCAAGTATTAAAAGGCCTGGCGAGCTAGTGCCAGGTGAAGGCCACAGGATGGATTCAAAGTAATGAAACAAACAGTGCTCTTGTTTGTCTGAATACTCTATCATGATAGCACAAGTCCTCATCTGATGTATTCAGTGTCCCACTACCTAGTGCACAGTGGGTACAGAATAACAGAGATTTATTCAAGTTCACATTTAAAGCCTCCTCAGGGAAACCTCAAGCACCAAGCTACTCTCTTCCTATATGCTGACTCCATCAACAGTTTACCAACAGTGTTACCATTTACAAAGTAGCAATCTATATGCCCCTCTCAACTTTCTTATTGTCTTCTTCACACTATTGTTTTGTTGTTCTCAGGTTTAGGAAAAAATCTTCAATATTTATTCAGGTACTGCAAACCAACTAGAACTTTGTATAATTTTCAAAGTATTTTTACAATTTTTATCACATTTGTCCATATATATAGCTAAAAAGCAGATCATGTGTTATCTTCATGGTATAATAAGTCACAAAATCCAAATACATTAAATGATTTTTCCAAAACCAGCAGTCACTAACTGACAAAACCAGAATACTAACTGGTTTTGTGCTTCCACCACTACCCTGGTACCACAATGCAGGAGCTGCTTGGACCGAACACATTAGGCCTTTTCCTAAGTGCTCACTCTAAAACAATTTGTCAATATTTACATCTTTATCACTACAAGCATGACTGCCATAGAGACACTCAATGCATCCACATTCAACTTTGGGTTCTGTTTTTTGAAATAATGTAAAATGGATCTGTGATTATAAAGCCCTGTATTTATATCTTGAGTCCTTTCTTCTTTTGAATTATGTCATGCAGATTGACACTAAGCAACCAAAATAGATTAACAATTGTGATTCTCACTCATTATTTTGTCAAGTTAAAACCTCTAAAAATTATATCCAAACATTTTGTCTGAATCTCAGCAGAATTTTCAGCCAGTGGCCAGAGGCTGAGCAGGGAAAATTCTTCAGTTTTTGTTCAACTTAATTCCAGAATCTAAGCCGATTGCTTATGAAATCTAGCTCCTAGTTTTTGACTGCACTGGCTTGCTTGAATGAATTTTACCCAGGTAGCAAAGGTGTGCTTAGCACTCCATCCATTTATTCCTTCACCTGCAGTACAAGGGATTCAACACAAGGTATTTGTATTGAGCTAGGAACCCTGTGTTTTTAACTTTTTGAGACAGGTTCTTATTAATCAGCTAAGCTGGTCACAAAATTAGGAACTGTGGTTGAAAACTAAGCAAATGATTTCTTACAGGTATATGAAGACATGAGAAAGTACAGACAAATTGTCCCATTTATATTAAAACCTCAACCAATACTTATTTCAAACATAATTACAAATGATAGGCAGTACCTCAGAATCCCAAGGCAATTCACCAGCTTTCTGTACTCCTGGTGCAAACACCGTATCTATAAAATGTAGTCAGAGACACATTAGTGAGAATATTCACTGCTGTAAAATTTGCTTATAGATACAAATATATCTACATTCATGAAGATTTCAATGAGATATGAGTCAATGTGAAAAGAATTTCAGAAGTTTGAATCAGTTTCCAAAACCTGTTGGTAGAAGGAAATTAAGACAAGTAAAATTTTAAAAGAAATGAATATCATTTTTTAGATCTACACACATTTGAAAATAATAGCATATAATCAAAAACAACTTTCACAGTCACTAATTTACCAGTTTGATGAGTTTTCTTCTCCTCATCCACATTAGTCACATTGTTAACTGATTTCTCATCCAGTGCTTTTACAACAAAAGGCTTACCCTTTTTCCGCGCTGTAACTTTTGACATTTCTGCTTGTTTCTATTGAAGAAAAGAAAAAAACAGTATTACAAAGCAGGCAATTGCCCAGCCACCCACTCAGTGTAATGGAAACACAATGGAAACAATCACCGAAAAAATCTATCAAATCACACGGATTACTCTGCAAAAAGCTGAAAGCACATTCTGCTTGCATGGAAGCAGACGCAGATACATGAAAACAGTGAAATGCATTTCATTCATTCTACAAATGGGGTCCAAAGACAGGCTTCTAAAGCAAATACGATCAGTTCTATCTGGAAAGCTCAGGAAAAGCCATTTCTTGTGAACAGGTGAGAAAGCACCAAGGAAGGGTGTCAAGGGCATTCAAGAAAGGACACCAGAAACAAAAGGATGGGGCATGAAACAATACACAAAAGAGGGCTGCCCAAGGAATGTGACACAGCTGGAATACAGTTCCTGGAAGGGCACAGACAGGTGAACAGGAGCATCACACTAATTTCAGGCTGGAATGGGAACTTTCCCTTGTGAAATGCAAATCTGTAGATTCTCTGATATTGTAAGATCGATGCCAGAGAATAATGGGAAGCACAGCATCAAAGAATATTGTTTTTAAATGATGAGTGAGAAAATGAGTCCAGAAATGAAAAATAGTTCTCAGAATGTAGGAAGTAAGAAAATTTGATAGTCACCAGAAGGGTAGCTGGGGCCAGGAATTCTCAGCTTCAGAGATCTGGTGCCATCCAATATCATCACAGAAAGACCACAGTCAAGGCCTGCAGGAAATACATCTAACTGGAGGCCTGGGATGGAGGAGACACATTTGGAGGAGGGGAGATGATGACCTCACTCAGGAAATGATATTGGCTCAAAAGGTAAGTAACTTTTTGTAGAATACAGAAAACGGAGGCAGTAATGCTAATCTATGCACAGTTCTGAAATTCATCAGATGAAATCATGAGGGGGGAATTACAGGAGATGCCATTTTTCAATTATATACATTAACATTTGTGTTGAAGCTATAAACAAACTTTAACTGATATATGCAAATACTAACTTCTGAGACAGTACGCAAATGTGAATTTTAAAATTTAATCATAAGATTTAATACCAAGATACCCATTGAAGATTTTGAAAAAAATTCTTGTTCAAAGAAAAATCTTCCAGGATTTAATGAAATCCAGGCCTGCTGATGTGCACCTGTGGTCTGTGCTTATAGGGCAGCTCAGGCGGGATGGTCCCTGAAGCCAGGAGTCAGAAATCCAACTGGTGAATATAACCAGGTCCATTCTCATAAAGGGAAACATATTATAAATTGTAGAAGAGAAATGGTGATGATTTACAGAAAGAGGTATTTTTAAATGCTACTACAATGTGAGGGAGAAATGTAAGGCCTTATTTGAAAATTCCTATTCCCCCAATAAATGGCATATGCCAATACTTCTAGTTTTCTACATGCAATGACAGTTACAAATGGAAGAAAAGTTGTGTGCTATTTACCACTACCTGAGAACTGAAGCATTTCCGGTAGAGAGAAAGGAAACACAATAATTTCCACAATTTTCCATTCAGAGAAATGACTGCTAATTAGGATTCTACAGAAAAATTACACTTTGAAAAGGTGCACCGAATAAACATGGAGCTGACTAAAACAAAAGCATAAGAAATTTTAAGATGACATTTTAACCTATGTTCAGAGTTAAAGGATACTAGAATGTACTGTGTCTTTCATACCTATTCATTCCTCAGATTTGTTTTCTTACTTGACATGACATTAAACATAAGTCACCTGAAAATATATATCTTAAGCACAGTATACATTTTATGGCATATTTTTAGAAACTGAATGCACTTATTTATTACATAAATTATGCACACATTACTTGAAAAATTCTACTAGGTAGAAATCCATTTATTGGCATTCAACTGGTATTAAAATGCTTCTTAATACCAAACACCTCACTGCAGGTCTTCAGAATTCACACAAAAATCTTTCTAATCTCCAGAATCTCATTGTACTGCGGAGTTTTAAATGAATTTTTGGAAGTACAAAAACTTGTGAAACTTGAAATGTCAGAATCAGATACAGAGACTACCACTGTATATTTTTAAAGCTATAAAGCTTACAATTACTTACATCATTACCACTTGCTTTTGTAGACCATCTAGTTCTACTACTGCTTATTATTTTGAAAACAGGTAGTCTTCTATAAGATAAAATGTTTTAAAAGTGGTATCCCCTTTATGGAGGAATCACATAGAAAACACAGTGCAGGAAGGTGTAGTATACATTCAATCCAGCACTGGAGGTGAGGCTAAACATCCCAAATTCCAGACCGGACTCAAAAACAAATTCAATTAACTAAAAAAAGAGGGCAAGGGATACAGCTTCCTGCACAGGCCCTGTGATCACCTTCCAGAAACAAAAAAACAAAACAATAACAATGAAGATCCTGTAATTCCGTAGTCATACATCCCTGATGAAACACATTTTAAATTTCTAAGTTGTCACAGTTTCCGGTATTATTCTAGTCTAACAACAGAACCAATAACAGAAACAGAAGAGCTCTCATAAAAACTGATGATAGCAAAATAAAGATTACTTAAAGGAAAAATTGTTTTATACACGGTAAGTTGTTCAAATGAAGGCACCAAACTTCCCTGATTATTGTAGGACTAATAAGATCCATAAAAGATTTATATAGGTATGAGTGCTATGAAGGTCTTGGTAGTAAGATTTTCAAGCCATGGCAAGATCCACTTATCCAAATGATCCTTGACCAAATTTTGTATTTCCGCCATCATGGCAAAGGTTTGACAGATACAATTTTCCTGTCACTGTGTGTTTTCTAACCCATTATTATTTTCAGTCTCAAATACTTCAAAATATGTACCAGTTATTTACCAAAGGGGTGGAAATTCTTTTTAACTAGGCATAGTTCTCCAAAGTGATCTTCCCTGATCAATGTTCCATATAAATTTATGGTAGCTACACCACTGTTAAATTTGAAGACTAAGTGCAATACAATGCAAAACTAAGAAAAACAAAATTAACTTTACAAAAGAGACTTACCTTGTTATCCAGAGGGAAAGCAGTGTCACCTGATGTAGCCTGGTAATTAACAGGACTGGGTTTGCTGCAAGAGCTGGGGAGCAAAAACACACAACAACAGTGGATCAATTTTGTCCTTAAAACCTGGTGAAAGCTTGGCTATCTGTATATCAAATGACAGTTGGAAGAGATCAAAAATGGCAGATAGATAACAGCTGACTACAGAGTCTCCCTGAGATACTCAATTTAAAATTCAACATAATAGAATGTGGGGAGTCCCAAACAGAGGGAGATGAATTCTCTCACCCTAAGAAGCAACTAAGATGAGAAGAACCAATCAAACATACAGTCCAGTGTTACTATTGGAACAACTAAAGGTTCAGTGCTCCCGGCAGTGCCCAACCACACGGCAGCTATTTGCTGAGCAGTCCCAGGTCCCACTGCATCAACTCACAGGAGGCGCAGTCACACTGTGGTTGGGGGTCGGCAAACCGAATGGCGAGCTAAGCTGGAAGGGAGCCTGCATTAACCTGTGGTGAGTGACAGGAGTGGAGCCATTCCACAGAAAAGGGGGCTCCAGTGGACAACATTCTGGGACCGGGCAGGACTGGCAAGTACAAAGGGCAGCAGTGACTTCAACCAGTTGTTCCCTTCCCCAACGGGATTAGTGGAGTGAGCTTGGCTTGGGTCACATGACCGGGCTGAGAACCAATAGGTTATCCAAAATCAATTAACTGTGGTGGCAGCGCACGGTAACACAGTGAAGTCAGAAGTTTCACTGACCCAGCAGGGAGGTAGCACACAGTAATACAGTGGAGGACTCAGCAGCTTGACTGATTTGAGGGGAGGGGCCAGCATACCCTGCCCCTGTTTGCAACTCACTAGCACACTGCAGTGGATCACCTAGCCAGTGTGCTTCAGAAGGATTGTAACCAAGAAAGAAAGAAACTGGGGCCTCCTGGAAGAAACAAAAAAGATGGGAACACGAAGCAACAAGAAAACGCCTCCAGGGTTCCCAGGTCCCAACCCTGAGAACAATGACCCAGGACAGGTACATACAAAGAAGAATGAGGACAGCAAACATGCAATATCAGACACAGCACCAGTGGACATAAAGAGATGTCTCCGGGACCTCATAGATGAGTTGAAAAGTGAAATATTTAGCCAAGTAAAGCAAAATATAAGAAGATTAATAATAGAGAGGCTAAGCACCCCTCAAGCAGACACAGACAGAAGCAGGGAGGAACTTGAACAAAGGAGAGAAACACTTGATGAAGAATATAAAGCAAATATAGAATACATGAAGCAGATTCAAAGAGATTACCAGGAAATTAAAACCTCTATGGAAAGACGGCAAAACTGCTTGAAAGAAACTATGGATAGATTATCCAAACTGGAGGACAGGTTTGCAATGTGGGATTATGAAAGGGAAAACATTTTTAAAATAACAAAGAAACAACCAATAACAAATACAAGCCTAGAAGATGACAAGAGGATCCAACAACTTGAGAATAAGGAATGTGAATGAAGAAGCAGGCCTACAAAGGAACTACAGAGGCTATTCACAGAAACAATTAAGGAAAACTTTCCAAACAAAGGAAAAGGATATTCAGATGTATGAGGCATACAGAACTCCAGCCACCTGCAACCAAAACAGAGCTACATCCAGGCATATAATAATCAAGATCCCAGAAATTCAATATAAGAACAGAATATTAAATCCTATTAGAGACAAGAAACAGATCACTTATAAAGGAAGGCCCATCAGAATAACGGCAGACTTCTCAACACAAACCATCAAGTCAAGAAGGCCTGGAGCGAAATATTACAACCCCTGAAAGAAAATAACCTTCAACCCAGATTGATATACCCTGCTAAACTCTCTCTAGAAATTAATGGAGAAACAAGATGCTTCCAAGACAAAGAGGAAATTGGGAAGTTCGCAACCACCAATCCAACTCTACAGAGAATATTGCAGGGCATTCTAGGGAGAGAGAGAAAAGCACTAGGGTTTCAGAAACACTGGCAGACAAGCTTCAAAGAATGGAGCAGAAACAGAATGAAGAAGATAAGCAGACAATTGATGGCAAAAAAGAGCATAACAGAAATGAGGCAGAGAAGGTTGGCTATAATCTCTAATATAGATGGCCTTGATACACTAAATTTTAAAAAAAGAACCATAGGTGGAGTAGATCAGGAGGCAGGGTCCACCGAGATACTATTTATAGGAAATATAATTAACATGAAAAAAAGAGTACATAGACTGAAAATCAAATATGAGGAAACAATGCTCTACGTGAAAGAGAACCAGAGAGTAATAGGGGCAACTAGATCAGTATTTGTGGATAGGCTGGAAAGACAGGCTTTAATAGGCAAAGGAATACAATTAGAGATCAAGTCCAGGGGACCGAAGGTTCGGAACCACTTAGGTAAATAGCAGGTTGCCCCCACCCCCAATTTAAAACCAAGGATCTTGGTCAGACCCAAAAATGCACAGTGTACCCTGGAGAAGTGAAAAAGGAGGGAGAGTCTTAAAGATGGCAGAAGATACTGTTAATAGTGTATCAGGATTTAAAACCCACATTACTCGCACCACTCTGCTTAAGATACATTTTATTCTTTTTATTTTTTTTTTTTGATAGATTTTATTCTGTCCCAGTTTGTCTACTTGCATTAGATTTGAGGGCACAGACAGCTATCCCAAAAACATCAGGATATAGCACAGTAATCATCTTTAATTTCCTATTATCTTAATCTGGAGCCCTGTATGACTTCCACTGTTTTATCATGACTCATCTTAGTTGTATCTGGTCTGTTTCATTGCTGTTTGGTATCAACACATTTTATTCAAAACTGATACGATTGATAGTATCAAGTCTGAGAGTATAGGCAACTACACTGAAGATGACAAGACTCTACAATACACATTCTGGTTTGATAACTGCCTGCTTTTGAAGTTTTATACTATATACAAAGTTGTGTCTTTATTAATACTGTTATGTACAGATACATTCAATTATACTATGTCTGATGACATAGCTAATTCTATTGAAGATAACAAGAGACAAAACAGGAACTATGGTAGAACTCCTTGTAAAACAGCCTTATATGTCTTTTTTGTTTCATGTGTTTATAGGAATATGTTTTGTTTTGTCTTGCTTTGTTTTGTTTCTCCCTCTAATACAGAAAGGATAGAAGTACATGTTAAGATTCATGCATGTGTAGAATCTATAAACAGTTTACGAGAACTGATCTTATGACACATGATGAAATGAACAAATACTTTGAAGAAAAAGAGTCACTCAAGTACCCAGTGCTGATCCTGGACTGTCATAATGTGACACTCAGCAATAGTACTAATCTTTGTTCAGAGTGATATTAGCCTGCTTGGGTTTGCTCAATCTCAAAATAATTGAAGATATGGATAACTACATGTATGTGTAAATGTATAGGATAACCATATTTCTAAGTTTTTGTTGGATAGCTGAACAGAACTGGTTACAGCCTCACTGTTTGAATCCCCACTTTATATGCTCCACTTTAGTATCTTGAACAACTATTTGTAAGAGGAAAATATGTAATCATCAACTAGTGATTTCTTACTGTATTTTTTCTTTGAAAGTATGTATTATTTCTACCTGTTTTGTTTTGTTTAGTCTTTCTTTACATAAAATTTTTAAAGAAGACACTACAGTACCCAGTGCTGATCCCAGAGTGTCATGATGTGAAATCCAGCAATACTATTATGCTTTGTTCAGAATGATTTAGCCTGCTTTACTTTGTTTAATCTCAGCCTAACTGAAGATATGGATAACTGCATGTATCTTTAAGTGTACAGGATTGATAACCATATTACTAACTTTTTGTTGGGTAGTTGAACAGAACTGTTTGCAATCTCGCTGTGTGAATTCCCATTTTATATGTTCCACTTTTGTTTTTTTTTTTTGTTTTTTTTTGTTTTTTTTTTTTTTTTTTTTTTGTCTTTTTCATTTTTATCGGTACCAGGGATCGAACTCACGACCGCCTGCTTGCAAGGCAGGTGCTTATGCCGCTGAGCTAAATCCCCAGCCCCTGTTCCACTTTTGTATCTTGAACAACTATTTGTAAAAGTACAGTATGTAAACATTAACTAGTGAGTTCTTACTTTGTTTTTCTCTGAATGTATGTATTATTTCTACCCATTTTCTGTTTTGTTTAGTCTTTCTTCAAATAAAATTTAAAAAAAGAATCACAGCAGACTTTTCAGCACAAACTCTCAAGTCAAGAAAAGCTTGGAATGAGGTATTTTAAGCCTGAAAGTAAACAACTTTCTATCCAGACTGATGTACCTAGCAAAACTTTCATTCAAAAATAATGGAGAAACAAGATACTTCAATGACAAAGCAAAACTGAAGAAATTGGTGTCCACCAAGTCAACCCTAGATGGAATGTTGAAGACATACTAGATAAGAGATTAAAATTAACACAATCCCCAGAATAACAACAGAAAGAAACCACTAGGTAGGACATGCAATTAAACAAGAGGGAAAAGCAGAAATCAAAAAATTGGAACATAACATGGCAAAGTCAAGCCAGTATATATCAGTGATATCCATAAATGTAAACAGCTTGAATTCACATATCAAAAGAAGTAGGTTGACAGAATGGATCAAGAAACATGACCCCACAATATGCTGTATACAAGAAACACATCTGACCTTAAAGGAAACTCATAGATTAAAAGTCAAAGGATGGAAAACAGTATTCCATGAAACAGGAAGTCAGAAAAAAGCAGGGGTAACAGTTCTATTTGCAGACCATGTGAACTTCAAACCTAAAAAGATTAAAAGAGATACAGAACGTCACTACATACTCATTACTGGAAAATTTCAAGAGTAAGAACTAACAATTGAAAATATATATGCACCAAATTCAGGAGCATCCAACTATATAAGACAGATATTAATGGACATGAAAAACCAAATACCCAAGAACACAATTCTAAGAGGGGACTTTAATAGCCCATTGCCACAAAGAGATAGATCAACTAGACAAAAAGTCAGTAAAACAATAATAATACAAAACTCACACTAGCACCTGCACAGGGAGAGTTTA